TTAAAAAAAGAATGTTAAAATGGGATTTTCAGTTCCTCTCAACAATTGGTATGTATATTAATAATATCAAACCATACTCTCTGGTTAGATGTGCTTGCTTTTTTCAATGTTTTGGCCTCGGGTAGGCAGTGGCAGGCATAAAATGTGACTCTTTTCCTTTGTAAAATGGCAAGTATTTCCTGTCAGTGGCTGTCTGTAAAAGTTAAAAATAACCCACAGGATGCACCTGAATGAAAAAGAAAAAAGAAATAGCAAAGAGAAAGAACCAAACACCCCCCACATAAACGTATGGAAACCAGAAGGTAGCTATATATTTGAAATTGCATAATTACCCCAGATCACATGATTAAAATCGTGGGTGCTCCATCCCTGGAGATTTTTAAGAGGCTAGGCAGTCACTTGTCTGAGCTGGTATAGGTTCTCCTGCTGGGGGGCTGGACTAGAAGACCTCCAAGGTCCCTTCCAGCTCTATTCTATTTTAAAATGGGGACGAGTTGTTGCAGCGTGGACTGTGCTCTTCCTTGAAAAGCAGTGGACATAACTGACAACGAGTACCCTTGTTTTCTTTCTCTTTCAAACCAGTTCTTTTATTTATTTTACTATTCAGAGCAATTATTTTGTTTACTTGCAGAGTATGTACATACTTACAAAAGATGTGTTCAGTCAATTCACTAATGAAGTTAGACTTTGGAATTGGACTAAAACAAAATACTGTTAATTCTTACGACCCATAAACTGACGGTTGCAGATCAAGAGAAGCCTGGAGAACTCTTGTTCATATCTGTGGGATTTATTTGAATGTATTCCAATTATATATACTTTTTTGTCATTTTTAGTATGCTAAACCTATCTGAAGGCTTAATGCAAGTTATACCTTTGATTCTAGCTTGAAGTCAGTCAGAAATTACATTCCCAAAGTAATTTCCCATTGCACATTATTGGGATCAATATGTCAGTGAAGAATCAATTATCTAGGCCAGGGATAGGCAACCTTGGCTCTTTTATGTCTCGTGGACTTCAACTCCCAGAATTCCTGAGCCAGCTTGGCTGGCTCAGGAATTCTGGGAGTTGAAGTCCACGAGTCATAAAAGAGCCAAGGTTGCCTACCCCTGATCTAGGCCAAGGATGTCTAAAGATTGAAATCATGGTAACTGATCAAACTTTGTAAATCTGAGACATTTTGTTGTTCGTCCAAGCAACTTCATCAGTCAAAGCAAAATTAGTTAGGCAAAGAATTTTGCTCTGACTGATAAAGTTGCTTGGATGAGCAATGGAATGTCTCAGATTAACAAAATTTGGTTCGGTTGCCATGATTCAATCTTTATAGACACATTAGTGGGATCAGCAAAAAGCATTAGTACTTCCAAAACTATCAAAGCAAAATAAAGCAGGTTCAGCAATTGCCCTCCTTAGGCAGATCTGGGAAAAAGAAATTCATGTCTCTGTAGAGCTGTGTTTGGTTTGTGTAGCTTAGCATTTGCTCATCCCCACCCAGTTTAAGATTCTTGACTGGAAATGATGAGTGTCAGGCTGAGGTTGCAGAAAAAAAAATTAAAACAGATCATGTGATGGCTTAGCTATCCCATCTTTGTGATCTGTAGAACACGGTGCTGCAGATCCCAACTTTTCTCTTCATGCAGACTTTGAGATGGTCACCAAAAGCTTTTGAAGACCACAACATTAACTTAGAGCCAGCGGTGTGTCATCTACAGCTGCTTTGACTCATGCAACTTCCCCTAAAATGGTTTCCATAAAACAGATTAGGAACCACTGATCTATCATGTTGTATGAACCCAACCAACTATTGCTCAATCAACAAACCAAAACTTTAGCATGGTATGTGAGCCCACTCTCATGCTACAGGGTGTCAGGAGATGCAGTCTGAACTACCAGAGCTTAAGGCGTCTCCTGTAGATCCTCCAATCCTTTGTCCAACTTGAAGTCCAGCTAATTTAGTCCTTCACAGAAGAAGCACTTTCCTTGCTTATCAAACGACTTCTGAAGGACAAGCTCCGGTAGCTTGGCATCCGACCATGGAATTCAGATGTCACAAAAAAATACAGGAATGGATCCAGGCAGCAGTTGAAGCTTGCAAGGCTTAAGAAAAAGGGGTGCAGGTACAAGATACTTTGCTTTACAGCACAGCCCCTCACCACATCTTCTTTTACCAACATGAAGAAGAAAAACATGACGTGATAAGGGGCGAAGCACACAAAAAACACGACGGCACACATGGACACCATCCGTAAGGCCTTCCGTTTTTCACCGGCGTTTTGTAAAGGCATTTGGTTTTCCTGGAGGGAAGCTCTGATCTTGGAAGTGCAATAGACAATGATTGCAAGAGGGAACAAGAACCCAATCAGCTCGGCGACCATCAGCATCCCGATCAAAGCCGCCTTGTTTTGGAACTTTTCAATCTTGAGATCGGAGAAGCAAGCTTCGGAGCTCTGGGTGTTCCTCAGCAATGGGAAGGTCAGACAAGTGATGCCAACCACCAACCAGATGGCAGCCGAGATGGCCACATCGTAGCCCTTCTTCCAGTTTTTGGCCTTAAAGGGATGGAGTAGGAACAGATACCTTTGCATGCTGATACAGGTGAGGAAACAAATGCTGGCGTACATGTTCAGGTACTTCAAGTAGAAGCAAAGCTGGCAAAGGAAGAGTCCAAAGGGCCACTTGTAGTTGATGTAATAATAAATCCGCAGAGGTAAGGAGAGGACATGAATGAAGTCCGCGGTGGCCAGGTTCAGCAGGAAGATGATGGCTTTGTTTTGCTTTCGGATAAAGAGGCAGAGCATCCACAGAGCAATGCTGTTGGTTAGGAGGCCTGGGATGAAAATGATGGAGTAAGTGGCGGTGTAAAATGTATGTTGGAAATTTATTCCGGGTTCAGAGCAATTCATCCCTGTTCCGTTGAAGGTAGGAGGACTTGGAAAAGTCCCACCATTGAAGTGATTCTGGACCCTGTAAGGAAAAGATGGCACATTAATAAAGCTACAGCAATAGCACATAGATTTATATGCTGTCCCATAGTGCTTTACAGCAGTTTACAATGTCGGTATGTTGGCCCCAACCATCTGGCTCATTTACTGACTTCAAAAGGATGGAAGGCTGAGTCAACCAGAAGCCCATAAGGATCGAACTCCAGACTGTGGGCAGAGTGTGCCTGCAATACTGCACTGTACCACCAGGGCTCCTAATAGCAATAGCACTTAGACTTATACACTGCTTCATAGTGCTTTACAGCCCTCTCTAAGCAATTTACAGATGCCAGCATATTGCCCCCAACAATCTGGGTCCTCATTTTACCGACCTCGGAAGGTTGGAAAACAGAGTCAACCTTGAGCTGGTCGGGATCGAACTCCTGGCTATGGGATGATAGATAGATAGATAGATAGATAGATAGATAGATAGATAGATAGATAGATAGATAGATAGGTAGGTAGGTAGGTAGGTAGGTAGGTAGGTAGGTAGGTAGGTAGGTAGGTAGATAGATAGATAGATAGATAGATAGATAGATAGATAGATAGATAGATAGATAGATAGATAGATAGATAGATGATAGATAGATAGAGGAATAGCACTTAGACTTATATACTGCTCCATAGTGCTTTACAGACATCTCTAAGCAGTTTACAAATGCCAGCATGTTGCCCCCAACAATCTGGGTCCTCATTTTACCGACCTCAGAAGGATGGAAGGTTGAGTCAACCTTGAGCCGGTGAGAATTGAAGGGAATCGGAAGTTAATGCTTTTCTTTTTCTTCTCCTCTTTAACCTACATAGATAGGCCTCGACTTACAACAGTTTGTTTAGTGACCGTTCAAAGTTACGACACTGAAAAATGTGAGTTATGACCGTTTTTCACACTTACGACCATTGCAGTGTCCCCATGGTCACGTGATCAAAATTCAGATGCTTGGCAACTGGTTCATGCTTATGACCGTCGCTGTGTCCCAGGGTCACGTGATCCCCTTTTGCGACTTTCTGACAAGCAAAGTCAGTGGGGAAGCCAGATTCACTTAACAACCGGGTTACTAACTTATCAACTGCAGTGATTCACTTAACAACTGAGGCACGAAAGGTCGTAAAATGGGGCAAAACTCATTTAACTGTCTCACCGAACAACAGAAACGTTGGCTCAATTGTGGTCGTAAATTGAGGACTACCTGTACTTTTTCATCTTCCCCTTGTCCTCCCCTATTTTCCCATTATTTTTTTGGGTGGTATTTCTGTATTTTATATTTTGATAAACTAATGAAATACTTGAATCAAATAAATAAATAAATTAATGCTAGCCATTTCTGTAACAACGGTCTCTATGAATCCGCAAAACCCAGTGTCAAGAGTTTCATTTCTTTTCTGTCTCAAGCACAAAATCCAGAAGAGGTTTGCAAGCAAAAGAGTTTTCTTGCAGAACTTACTTGCAAAAAGGGTTTCTACAGGGTGTGGTTTTTATTCTGGTTCTTCCCTAAATTCTGAAGCTTCATCTTGGAGTTGTTGACAATTTCATGAATGTTAATCTTAAATTAATCTGCCAAGGACCTATGTAAGCGGCAAGTTTTATTACAAGCTTTCCATTTTTGCACACTGACCATGCACCATATTAGCCTAAACTTCCTTGAAAAACTTATGTAATTTTAATAACTTTTAATAAAAAAAATAAAGAAAAAGAAATGCTTCTGCGGCTTGAGAACGGTGGAATCATTTTGACCAGCTTGTAAATTGTTGCAAGTTGCCTTCCGCCAACCTGTTTGTTCATGCATTTCCTATTTACTAAACTGCTCTTGCGTACTGTTCAAAAGTTTCCTGTTTAGCCTTTTTGCCCATTAATTCTTATTAAGGTGGCAGCTTCAACTCCCTCACTCAGGGCAGGAAGTCAATAAAAATCAAATTTCCAACTTCTGTTTTACATAACGACACCTCTGGGGAAAACGGTTCTTACTGCACGTTGGCAAAAGGGCTTCTGTGATTTCTCTATCCCTGGAGGATTAAATTATAATGAATATAACTCAAGATTGTCATTGGCCACAAGTGTATTCTGCCTGAGTTTCTTTCTAAGCTGGTTTTACCAGTAGCTGGCTAAGTGCAAGCTTTACCGTGCACCTAAGAGTTACTACTGTATAGAGGCCCAGTCAGCAGTAAATTAGTAAGAAATGGGGATAGAAGAGAATATTTGTAGTTCAGAATTGAATTCTGGGGCCCTGGGCTTGGCTGTTTTCTTGCACACATTTCATTACCCAACTAGGTAACAGCATCAATGGTGGAAGGACATGAGGTTTGCAGAGAGGAGAAGGAGGAGGACTGTGGGGCCCTTGGTGCTCTCGGAGCCTGGTTGTTTTCTTGCACACATTTCATTACCCAACTAGGTAACAGCATCAATGTGGAAGGGCATGGGGTTTGCAGAGAAGAGGAGGAGGAGGAGGAGGAGGAGGAGGACTGTGGGGTCCTTGGTGCTCTCTGAGCTTGATCATTTTCTTGCAGACGTTTCATTACCCAATTAGGTAACATCATCAGTGCTAGAAGGGAGTGGAGTTTGCTTTCTGTTTACATGTAAGTGCCTCGCTCTGCCAGTGTTGGTGGAAGTGTTTCTCATGGTTCCTTGACTAGGCTGTTATTTACTGTTAGCTTATTTGTCTGAGTTGGCAGTTCCTTGATTGGGGTATTATTTGCTGCTTGCTTGTTGGTTTTGTGTTAATCTGTGGCTATGCCTCCTTGAACAGCATGCAGACAGAGATGGCCTTCCCTCACAAATCAACCCACAGAGATTTTTCATAAGATGTAACTTAACAGGCAGCACATGCACCCAAGGGATGCTTGGCTTCCAGAACAGGAACAAACAAGAAACTGAAGTTGCAAACTTAATTTCAAAAACTCTCTTTAGATCACTTCATGTCTTAGAGGGAAGGGCAGTAGAGCAATGAAACTATGGGAGAATGTAACTTTTTTTGCTTTTATTTCAAACCATATCAGGTAACTACATTAAAATGAATCCAAGATACATCTAAAAAAAATAGAAATATTAAAAAAAGGTCTACTACAACCTGAATAAAGAGAGAGGTACTCCATTTCAAAATTTATAATATTTAAAGAGTATACCAAATTATAATCTATTGCTATTAAGTTAAAAACTCAGTTTGGTGTAGTGGTTAAGACATCTGTCTAGAAACTGGGAAAAGGTGAATTCTTGTCTCGTCTTAGGCCCAAAGCCAGTCACTCTCTCTGACCCACAAGAAGGACGTAATGGTCAACAACTTCTGAAAAACCTTATTAAGAAAACTTCAGGGAGTTTTCCAAGCAGTTTCTGAAAATCAGACACGACTGAACAAAAATTTAAGGTAAACCATAAAATCCAACCAAGTTTAATAAAATTGTGGTTACTGCTTCTGACATTTTATTTCCTTAACTCAGTCTGTGATGTTTTTTCTAATGTGGCAATCGAAAAGGTCTTGCTAATCGCAATTCAGTTGTTATATTGCCTAGAGTTCTCAATGTCGCACAGTCATGGTTTGGGTTGCTAAAATTAAATAGATAAATCAATTCTTTATTTTTAACTTCATGGTTTTGTCCAGTAAATAAGTGTAATAAGCTTAACTCTGGAAAGTATTCAGTTTTTTGTTTTGCGATGTTACTTAACTCTTCAAAACATTTTCACCAAAAGGGTATAACTGTATAAGGTGACCACCACAAATGAAGAAAAAAATCCCCAAAACAAACCTTTATTTAGGTGTTTTTTTGGGGGGACAACCTCCATAGCATTTGGAAGAATAATTTTAATATATATGAGCCAGCCTAACAGGGATGAAATATCAACAGTGTTTAATTTTCCACTGCACTTCTTGTATTGAAAGTGAAGTGAAGCTGGTTTCCATTAAGTGTTGACAATTTGTCTCCTATATGAGATTACCAAAATCAATATCCCAAGCTCCAGATGGCTCTTTTATTTTAAATTACAGTAATAACCTATACACTTTTGAAATTCATTTTGGTTGTTCTGAATAACGAAGTTATTTATATACAATTTGTAAAATTTGTACAAGTCTGTATTGCTGAAGTTCTAATGTTTCTAGTGCCCAGAATTATTTTATCTATTTTACTTTGGAATTAGATCTTGGGTTTTGTTTTATATTTTTGATACGATCATAACACTATTCAGTTAAACTATCTATCCCAGAGGAGATTTGAGTTGACATTGAAAAGGTGACGGTAGTGTATAACCAATTTGTTGCTGTATCTGATCTTTATTGAGAGGCTCACCATGGCTACAGCAATCTTTAAATCTATAAAATTCATACGTTTTCAAAGAATTCAATTTAGCCAAAGGTGCAGGTAACCTTTGCAGATATCTGAATTGGAATTCAGCAAGGTCTGCCTGCAGCTTTTGGACAAAACCAATTTTGTACCACATGTTATACACCTTCCTTCAGTGGTCTGATAAATAAGTTTTCCTAATTTATGCACAGCATACTAAAAAGCAGAGACATCACCCTGCCAACAAAAGTGCGTATAGTCAAGGCCATGGTTTTCCCAGTTGCAATGTATGGATGTGAAAGCTGGACCATAAGAAAGACTGAGTGCCAAAGAATTGAGGCCTTTGAATTATGGTGCTGGAGAAGACTCCTGCGAGTCCCCTGGACTGCAAGGCGTTCAAACCGGTCAGTCCTAGAAGAGATCAACCCTGACTGCTCTTTAGAAGGCCAGATCCTGAAGTTGAAACTCAAATTCTTTGGCCACCTAATGAGAAGGAAGGACTTACTGGAGAAGAGCCTAATGCTGGGAAAGATTGAGGGCAATAGAAGAATGGGAAGACAGAGAATGAGGTGGCTGGATGGAGTCACTGAAGCAGTAGGCGTGAGCTTAAATGGACTCCAGAAGATGGTAGAGGACAGGAAGATCTGGAGAAACATTGTCCATGGGGTC